TAGGCCCACAGAGATAGTGTGTAGGCTCAGGGGGTAAGTGTTTTACGGCGCTCGCAATTGCATAAGGTCAGATGAGCGCGCGGGATACATCAGACTTTTTCAATTGGTAGGGAAATTTTGAATTTTGCCCGGGTGGCGGCCAAAGCCTACTCTTATCGATTTTAAACCACCAATGGATCTTTAACGTGCACGACTTGCGCACGGGCCCTCTGATATTTTTCGCCCTTGTCCGAGAAGGCTAGGTGTAGATCTTTCCTACCAGAAGATCAGGGGTGTTGCTGAAAGACAGCAGTAAGAAGGAGTCAAGGAGAAGCAGTATAAAGGCTGCAGAAAGAGTCAGGAGCCCAGAGGAGGGGGCAAAGGAGGTGAGGGGGCGGGGGCAGAAAGAGGAGACGAAAGCAGACGACAGAACATTGTTAGAGAGCAGGAAAGGAGGTGAAAGGAGACAATTTTAGAGAAGAAAATATTTTCGATCGCTACCCGGATTCGGAACCTGGGACCTTTGAATGAAAGGCCAACACCTTAACCTCTAGGTCACGAGAGCCACCGAACCTCACTGTTGGGATTAGGAAAGGGAACAGGACACCATCTCTCTGTAGTTGTAGAGTGAGTTTTACGGCGCTTGCAGCACAATTAGGTCATACAAGAGCCCAGACCCGGGCCGACGACAAGAACACAACAGTTATGAATTATATATTATATATATATATAAATAAAAATACGTGTATCAATAAATCCAACAAGGCAGGAGTGAGAGAAGAGGGAATGAGCACAATAGAGGCAGAAGGAATGAAGATCCCCAGAAGCCAAGCCCCATGAAATATCCAAGTCAACAACACACACACAGGATCATGTTTTCCCACACATTTATAAAACGTTACTTAACACATTTATGGAAAATGCTAAAAATGCCCGTGACTCCAAAAAGGGACTGTCCCCAGCACTTCTGGCAGAACTTGTCACAAGGAGCTCATTGTAGAGTAAACAGGTTTGTTTTCCACAAAAACTTCTCAACACATGCGATCAACAATGACAATGTCGCCATCAGACAAAACAACATGGCGGACTTGACAAGCGACACTTCCCCAGCTGTAAACTATTTACCATCTGTAGAATCCACCCACTGGGATTTTTAAAAATGAGTATTTAGTAAAGAATTTTCTAGAATAAAGCTACCAAATGTTTACCAAAATATTGACCTGTTAGAACAACTTGGCACAAGCCATTGTGCAAGAGTGGACGAGTCTATGTTTGATAGGTGAGGAAACATCTGATCATAAGTCGCGCCACGGATTTTTGGTCACACTGTAAGTATCTCTCTATCTAAAGATAAAGACAGAGGAATGGAGAGAGAGAGAGAGAGAGAGAGAGAGAGAGAAAGA